GGGGTTCCTTATTTTTGGTGCGCAGCAGGTCCCTGGACTCTAGCTCAGAGGTCTAATCTATTAGACTTGTCTGGTCCACTGACTCACGCGGTTGGGCTCATAACCTGTTAGCATTCCAAAAGTAAGGCTAGACCGGGATTCGAACCCAGGTCACCCATTTCCAGTAGGGATGCTTTAACCACTAAGCTATCTGGCCGTACTCCGGTCTGAGTGTGAATTGTTACATTCCAACAGGTACAACACATCTTGAACTTGGAAGAGTCTGACGGACATATTGAGATCTTGGATGGGGCAGGGACATGCCCTGGAGGTAAGCTTAGCGGATGGGAAAAGTCTTCTTGGTTGCTTATATCAAATTTATAGAGGATATGCGCGGTAATTGGAGTTGGGATGGTGAGGTTCTGGAGGTTCTGGATAAGGGATCAAACCAAGCCAAGTCCATTTTCCAACATACTTGCCGCGACTTGCACCAGTTAACATTTCTGATGCTAGGTAAGAAAATCTATGAGATCCTCTCCAGCGCCAATTACCAGGACTATCCTGGATCATGCGTATTGACCATAATACGTACGATATGGAAAGAGCCTTGGAACGTCTCAATACCGCTCTGCCTCGTCAAACTCTGTGAAGAGCGGTGCGAAGAAAGTTCATACTCCTCTCGGTTCAGTAGGGCAGGATATGATCCGGAGGTTCGACAAAGTATGGAATAAGAAGGGTCAATCTGTGCAACAGACAGAGGATCCGGGGTTTGGTGCATTCTGGCTGGAAACTGTCTCAGATGGTCGGGATGGGAAGTCCGAAGGCGTATGTGCTGCTTGCGGCAAACCAGCCGGTGATGAGACACTGACACTCGACGAATCCCAAAACGAAGACCTAGAAAGAACAAACAACCACACAATACCACCAAGCCCTTGGTGGTACGCGGCTGCGAGGTCCGGGGAATCGAAGGGTATTGATTAGTTCGAGGGGAACAAAAGGATGAAAGACGTGCTGTGGGGAGGGGCCTTTGATATGAGGATCGTAGCACGCAGCATTTGTATGGCCGGCGCTAATGAACTAGTGTCGCTAAAGCGGAGCAGCGACAGCGACAGCGGCGCCGACAGCGACAGCGACGGTGACGACCTAAAACTCTTTGACGGCGATGGTGAACAGTTTCTACGACACACGGGGTCGCTTCGCAGAAGAGGACAGGATGGGAGCATACGATACTAGCAGGTGTTTTAACTCTTTAGAGGGTGATTGTTGGAAACTCTTGACAAAGTCGGAAGACGCGATGAGCACCTTAGTCACTGAAGACTCTGACGCTAAGCTGAGATGTGAACGGGAGAATGTAACTTGGATTGTACAAACAGAAAATCATCCTTAAATACAAGTACGCTACAGACTACTACTGTGTTGCCCTATTGTCTTGTTGTCCGTCTGAGTCACTTCACCAATTGCCAAACCATATGCTGTGTCCGGTCGTCACTCGCCCTCTATCAAGTCCATCGTCCAATCCCAACCCGCTACACCGCTCCTTCCACCAAAGCGCAGCGACGCTGCACATGCTATCTTGACAAGCCATATGAGCGCCGCCGCTAGCCCACTGAAAGAGACAATAGTAGATGTCGATAGCCCATCGTTGAGTCAGATCAATAAGGCGTCTAATTGTGAGTGAACGTTCTCGAGCAGCGCCGGTCCGAAACCCGAGTCTTGGCAAGCGGCTCTGGCACATCGGCAATGTCAGCCACGTCGGGGATGTCGCTAGCGTGCACCGAGCGACTATTGTTTGACGAGCCCGGCCGGCTCGGCGTAAGCAGATGTGAGTCGATAGGATCAGATAACAGGGTCAATAGCGTGTGGGACCACGGCCGGAGCTTCAGTGAGGGACGTGGCATTCGAGAGCGACGTGCCGATGCCTAGACCAGAGTCGAGAGCGGCGCGTCGAAGCCTAGGAGCTGGCCGTCGTTCCGACTGAATGTGGGTCGGCTGTGATGACGACAGCGGCCGAGTCGCTGGTGACGGCGCTGAATAGGCGGTGGTTGCCGACGCTGACGCGGCCTCGCTGACGTCGACTGGAAGCGCTGTCGCCCAAGTATAGCCCAGTTGGCGTATAGAGTCCAGAGGTCGCTGTCACCGAGAATAGCCCAAATTTCCCATGTAAGACACAGAAGCATTGCGAAACGCGTTTTCTGGGGTCAGAACAGATTGGGGCCTATCACCGGCTCAGATTTGAAGGCCTGCAGGGGGTGTAAGAAGGTTCTGTGAGTGGACTCGTACATTTTTGCTCCCTTGAATGTTGCTAACGCCGGGTGATGCATAGGTATTGCTCGGTTAAGTGCCAGAAGGTACCGCTCCATCTCGAGAGGGTGTTCAATGAGTTGATGTGATTTGCATGTAGTGGCATTGGAAAACCACTCATAAGAAGCAATGCGCAGCTCAAGCGAAAGTTGAGCCTTCTCAGCCAGAACGTAGTCCAGCTACGACCTTGGCTCGCGACTCGGATCAGCAAGATGTCTGGCGTGCAAGAATGGTGTTGATCTTCTTATCACTGATTTGCTCATTCATTCTGTTCTTCTGCTTTTCACGATAGCATACTACAGACTGCCTGTTGCAGTGGCACGGGAACATATAAGCAGGGCAAAAGCAGCAGTTGCAGAAATCATTGTGCACAAAGGTGGGTGCTTCTGGTTGTGGTCAGGATTCTGCGGCATCTACTAGGCCGCCGAATAATGATATCTGCTACCATTTTGTCCCATAACATGCTCATGAAGACACCTCTCGCCGCATGGTCGGCATTTGCCATTGGGTGCCAGATTTAATCTTGGACCCTTTGGGACAGTCTCACGCAAACAGTCAGAAAAGAAATACAGGTATTATCGAGTCCTTTCATGAAAAACATTGGGGATGCACTTTCAAATTTCAGCGGCCACAAATCCTTTGGCGCCCCTTCAGCCCTGTCATGCAGTCGTCCCGCAGTGCACTGTCATGTAAGTGCATGGGATGAGATACACTTACTCTATCCTCGAGCCCAAGGCAGCACACTTTTCTGGCCGCAGTTCATCGTCAACTTGGTTGGCATCCGATGCCCTTCGTCCGCACTTCGCTGAATCAATCATTCGAGGAGCCAGCATCACTTCTAGTGTTGTGCTAGGCCCAGCTTGAAGCCCAAGCCAAGCCCAGCCGAGCCCGTTTGAGGCCGAGCCGGGCCCGAGCCGAGCCCTCACAGGCCGCTTGAGGATGGCTCGGCCTGAGACTCAGGCCAGCCGGGCTGAGCCGCCAATGCCCGGGCTTTTCGTACTATATGTCGCAGCACCTTGCTGTGAATTATTGTACCGGATATGTATGCCTGAAGTGTTGCCAGCACTGGCAGTGATTTGCATGGCTCCAGATGTCTGATTTAGCTTTTATTTCCCCACGGTAACAGCATGCTTCTTTCCACCACCACCCGCCACAATATTGGTCAAGTCATTGGCTGGCTATGCTAGCTTAGTAAAAGCAGGTCTGATGATCTCAGCCTACCGCTATTAGACCAAAATGACACAGGAGATGTTCAGGACGGTATGTTATGCATATTGAACGATCCTGTAATTAATTCTGTTTTACACCAATAAGCCCGGGCCTAAGCCTGAGCCAAGCCCGAGCCCGGCCAAGCCTACCATGGACGGCTCGGCCTGAGGTTTTTGAAAGCCCGAGCCGCCTAATACCGAGCCGAGCCGGGCCGAGCACAACACTAATCACTTCTTCGGGACACTCAAACTTCTTTCTCAATTCCTCCGTGCGGGGAGCACAGCCAGATACTAGTCTTGGAGGTGGCATCAAAGGCCTTATAAGGTGCACCTCTCCATGGTCCAGATTCAGATCCTGAAGCTTGTTGCGGAATTGTTCATGAACACCCGCATATAAGGAATGGTCATCATGAGAGCTTGCTGCGGTCAGCATCCGATAGTGCTCACTGAGTGCACCCAGCAGTGAATGGAAGCACCGGCGTAACTTGCCCCAGCACAGGCTCGAGTTTTCTGATGAATCATTAGCTAGTTTGATGTTGTGGAGGTAGCCGGCCAAGCGATCACGAGAGGAAAAAAGAAGCATTCATTCGAGCTGGAATTGGGGGGCCTTGCTATGGAAGAGCATATTCGTCTTGTGATCACACACCAGCCACTTCACACACGTTAAGACAATCCAGAACAAAATCCAGAATGCAGACTCCATGTCATGCAGGAAGTTGTGTCATACGATGGGGGAGGCGGTCGTGGATGATCTTCATCCTCCGTATTGCTACCACAGTGAGCTGGCATAGATGGAAAAAGGAAGGCATTGGTCTGCAGCTCGACGGCCATAAAGATGGCAGTCCCCTAAGTGACTAATATTACTTCACCCGGTCAAGGTGACTTGTGGACAAACGAACCGTTTTCGGGTCTGATGAGCGTTGTCCCACCGACAAGTCAAACTCCTTTGCATATCCGAGATTGCCCAACTTTCCTCTCCTGTTGTGAGACAGAATGTTTCCTGAGCTCACATTGCGATGAATCCATGAGATGAGGAACAAGATTTGGAGTGCTGAGGAAATGCAATGAGTGGCATATTAGCATGAAGGACTTGGGAATGATAATAGAGGCATCCTACCCAGCAAGGCATCCTTCAGGGCGGACAGAACAAGTGTCAGGTCATCCAGCTCATGCAATGCAGAGCACACTTCCTGATACACGACGAAGTTCTGCTGCTTCTGTTTGTACTCGCGAGGTACATTGCTGTTCTGCATGGAGGAAAATGAGGCCATATAATTTCCAGGAGCACAGGATGTGGACACTCACTGTGGGTCTGAACCGAGTCTTTGTGCTTCCTGGTTGATGTATGCGAGCGGAAGGAAGGTGTTGGGTGCAGGTTTGAATTCTGTGGGACAGGGCTTAGACATTGCACCTCAGTAATTTGCATTAATTGTTAAAAATAACTCTCTGTACATTCCATCTGCAAGCATCTGCCGTAGTTCCTTCTTGGTCTCCTTGTTAACGGAATGCAGCCTATCATCATCATCAGATGGAAACTTCTTTTCGAGCTCATTGCAGTGCTCAAAGATCTTCTCCTGGATCTCACTCTCCATGCTGCTACCATGGTCAAGCCAGACATCTCTCAGCACTGAGGGTTGTGCCCCTGGAAGGGTGGAGGTGTCATGATTGCCTTTAATCTCGATGACCTCCCAAACTCTGGTTGCCCGTC